TCTCTCGCTGTGTCTTTCTCTGTCAAATAAATAAATAAAATCTTAAAAAAAAAAAAAAATTTATTGTTGGATTCAGTTAGCTACTATTTTGTTGAGGATTTCTGCATCTACGTTCATCAGAGATATTGGCCTGTAGTATGTTTATCTGGTTTCAATATCAGGGTAACACTGGCCTCATAGAATGAATTAGGAAGCTTTCCTTCCTCTTCTATTTTTTAGAATAATTTGAGAATAGGTATTAACTCTTCTTTCAATGTTTGGTAGAATTCCACCTATGAAGCCATCTGGTCCTGGACTTTTGTTTGTTGGGAGGTTTTTTTGTTTTTGTTTTTAGATTTACTTATTTATTTTAGAGAGAGATTATGAGCATGCATGCATGCAAGCAGGGGGAGGGGTAGGGGGAGAGAGAGAATCTCAAGCAGACTCCCTGCTGAGCACGGTGCCTGATGTGGGGCTTGATCCCATGACCCTGAGATCACAACTTAAGCCGAAACCCAAGAGTCGGACGCTCAACCAACTGAGCCACCCGGGCGCCCCAAGAGGTTTTGTACTGATTCATTTTCATTGCTGGTAATCAGTCTGCTCAAATTTTCTATTTCTTCCTGATTCAGTTTTGGGAGGATATATGTTTGTAGGAATTTATCCATTTTGTCTAGGTTGTCCAATTTGCTGGCATATAATTTTTCATAATATTCTCATAATTCCTTGTATTTCTGTGGTGTCAGTTGTTGTATTTTAAATAAGATTAGACACTTTACATTCAGTTTCTTGTTCACACAACTAGGGACCAAACCAAAAAGTCTTCCTGTAACATACTAGAAGAAACCAATATAATCAAAAAAATAAACATTTAATGCCTTTTTGTGAGTTTAATGTTCTATAAAATGCCAGTAGAACTTCATGAAAAATATTTTCTGAGAAGAATAAAGATTTGGCTATTTTCATAATTGGACTATATAGTAGAGGCAGCGTGCCTACTAATGGAAAATTTATTTTCCATACACTCTTAAATCTCTACAGGCAGCAGTTCAAAATCATATTACACAAATGAAAGAAAGGAATACCCCAGAGAGTGACTCCTCTGTACAAGGAAAAATTCATTTCCATACAAGGAAAAATATATTACCTTTCTCCACACATGTATCAGGTACTGGCTCATGTGACTGCTTTATCGGTGAGGAAGCTTTCACTGGGGCTGGAATGGTCAAAGGCAATGATGGTGGGGCATCAGAGATGTCTGACTCGGAGGACTGAGGATAAATGGAGTCTTCTCCAAGAGAATGTCGGTGAAGCTCAACATCCACTACCTACATAATCAGGCAACAATTGGGCTCATGAATCCATGATCAATGTCACAGAAACCCCCAAACCTGTCCAAGAACATGGCGCTCTAAGAGATGCGACAAATGATTTCTAATCCTACTTCAAAGGTAATTTCAATCTAAGAACTAAAGGATTTATCCCAGAATATAGTTTAACAGATAACTCAGTGAAACCAATCATATAATTGGGGCCTTTCCATTTGCTGTTTCTATGCCTTAGAACACTACTCCCACCCCAAATCTTTGCATAACTGTCTCTTTCTCATCATTAGGTCTCAACTGAATGTCACCTTCTCAGAGACGCCTTCTCTAACCAACCTAAAGTAACCCCCTTGTCCCCCAGCAACTCTCTTCTTTATAGCACTTATTTTAAGTGAAATTATCTCATTTGCTTTTGTTTACTATATACTTTCTCCCCATTTTCAACACAACCAAGAAGATAACTCCTTAAAGGCAGTAGCTATCTTATTCATCTCTGTATCCCCAGTACCAGGACCAGTGTCTAGTATACGGTATATGCTCAATAAATATCTTTTGATACAACACAGCACACTTCCCTAAACAGAATACGGTTTAACTAGCTAATTCTCTCTCACCTAATAGCTACTGCTGATTTATCATGAAGAAAAAAAAAAAAAAAGTGGGAGGCGGCGTATGGGGAAGCAAAACAAAGTTGGAGGTCTCATTTCCTGACTTCAAAACTGATTATTACAAAACTACAGTAATCCAAACAGTGTGGTACTGGCATCAAGAAGACATACAGACCACTGGAATAAAATGCCCCCTCATATATATGGTCAAATTATTTTTGACAAGGGTGCCAAGACCACTGGGAAAAGCACAGTCTTTTCAACAAATGGTGCTGGGAAAACTGCAAATCCACATGCATTAGAATGAAGGTGGATCTTTACCTCACACTATTTACAAAAATTAACTCAAAATGGATCAAAGACCCAAACATAAGACCTAAAGCAATAAAACTTTTAGAAGGAAATATAGGGCAAAGCTTCATGAGAGTGAATTTGGCAATGATTTCTTGGATGACACTGAAAGCACAGGCAACCAAAGAAAAAACAGATAAATTGGACTACATCAAAATTAAAAACGTCTTTGTATCAAAGGACACAATCAGCAAAGTGAAAAGGCAACCCACGAATGATGTGATAAGAGATGCATATCAAGAATGTAAAGAGAACTCCTAAAACTCAACAACAAAAACCCAAACACATGATTCACAATGGGCAAAGGATTTGACTAGAAGTTTCTCCAAAGAAGATTCACACACAGCCAATAAAAAGATGAAAAGATACTCAACATCAATAATCATTAGGGAAATGCAAACCAAAACCACAATGAAATACCACCTCACACACTCATTAGTTTGGCTACTATCAAAAAAATAGAAAACAATAAGTATTGACAAAAATGTGGAGAAACTGGAACTCTTATGCACTGTTCGTAGGAATGTAAAATGGTGCAGCTGCTGTGGAAACAGTGTGGCAGTCCCTCAAAAATTAAAAATAGAGCTACCATGGGGCACCTGGCTGGCTTAGTTAGTGGAACATGTGACTCCTGATCTTGGGGTTGTGGGTTCGAGCCCCATGCTGGATGTAGAGATTACTTTAAAAAAAAAAAATAGAGGTACTATATGATCCAGCGATTCCACTTTCTTGGGTATATACCCAAAAGAACTGAAAACACAGACTCAGATACCTGTACATCCATGTTCTTAGCAGGATTATTCACATAGCCAAAAGATGTAAGCAACTCAAGTGCTCATTAACAGAGATAAATAAACAAAATGTGGTATAGACACACAATGGAGTATTATACAGCCTTTTTAAGGAAGGAAGTTCTGATGCATGCTACAACATGGATGAACCTTGAGAACATTATGATAAGTGAAATATACCAATAATAATAAAAAAAACACACTGTATAATTCCACTTATATGGTACCTAGAGTAGTCAAAAATTCATAGAGACAGAAAGTAGAAGGGTGGTTGCCAGGGGCTGAAGGGAGAGGGGAATGGAAGTTGTAAATGGGTACCATTTCAATTTTCCAAGATGAGAAAGAGTGTGGGGGATGGATGGTAGCAACAGATGCACAAAAAATGTGAATATATTCAATACTTCCTAACTGTACAATTAAATATTGTTAAAATGGTAAGTTCTGTTTATCATTTTTTTTAATTAAAAAGGGGAAGACAAACTTTTTTAAAAATTAAGCACTCATTTTTCCTAATTAAAAATGAAGATCAATTTCCATTCTACCTTATTCCCAAATAATACTGTAAGAAAAAACCTACCGTCTCTGCTCCAAGAGTCTGCAAGCCAGTGTAAGTTCTATCCAGCTATTGAAAGACAAAAGAAGAGTGTAAAGTTTCACTGAGCTTACTTATAAATCTTAGGATACAATCTCATCTAAAACCCCTTTCACCACAAGTCTTCATAACATAGAATCTACTTTTTCATGATATAAACTATCAATTAATCACTTCAATAAAAACCCTCTTAATTGGGGTGGAATGAGTAAAATTAATAAAAACAACTTCAAACATATAGGTATTGTACTTTTAATATAAACTATACACTTCTAAAAACATTCTAAGAACAATGTAAAAATGGAGGAAGTTTTACACAAAAAGATATTTACTACAGCATTATTTACAACCACAAACTGAAAATATGAACAACCAGTAATAAAGGAATGCTTAAGTAAATCTTTTTTTTTTTTTTAAGATCTTATTTAGGGGTGCCTGGGTGGCTTAGTCATTAAGTGTCTGCCTTTGGCTCAGGTCATGATCCCAAGGTCCTGGGATGGAGCCCCACATCGGGCTCCCTGCTTCGTGGGAAAGCCTGCTTCTCCCTCTCCCACTCCCCCTGCTTGTGTTCCCTTTCTCGCTGTGTCTCTCTCTGTCAAATAAATAAATAAAATCTAAAAAAAAAAAAGATTTTATCTACTTATTTGAGAGAGAGAGAGAGGCAGAGCACAGAGGGAGAAGACGACTCCCCGCTGAGCAGAGAGCCCAATGTGGAGCTTGATCCCAGGACCCTGAGATCATGACCTGAGCAGACATTTAACCAACTGAGCCACCCAGGCATCCCTTAAGTAAATCTTGAACCATCATTTGTAAAGTATTACATAACCACTTAGATGTTTACAAAGATGATGTAAAAAATATTTTAAAAGACAGGCTATGGGGGTGGCCTGGCTGGCTTGGTCGCTAGAACATGTGACTCTTGATATTGGGGTTGTAGGTGTGAGCCCCATGTAGAGTGGAGAGATTACTTAAAAAATAAAATCATTTTTTTTAGGGGCACCTGGGTAGTTTGGTCAGTTAAATGCCTGACTCTTGATTTGGGCTCAGGTCATAATCTCAGGGTTGTGAGATCGAGCCTCCAGTCAGGCTCCACGATGAGCATGTAGCCTGCTGAAGATTCTCTCTCTCCCTCTCAAACAAAACAAAACAAAACAAAAAATCAATAAGTAAAAAAATTTTTTAAATCATTTTTTTTTTTAAAAAGAGAATGGGACGTCCATCTGGGAGGCTCAGTCGGTTGAGCATCTGCCTTTGGCTGAGGTCATGATCCCAGGGTCCTAGAATCAAGTCCCATGTTGGGCTCCCCACCCAGTAGGGAGCCTGCTTCTCCTTCTCGCTGCTCTTGTGCTCTTGCTCTCTCTCTCCCTCTCAAATAAATAAATAAAATCTTTTAAAAATAAAGAGATTGGCTATAAAAATACACATATAGTGTGATGACATAATTATATACTTAAAGTATATTTACTAAGCATTTTTGAAAAAAATGAATGAAAATTTAAGCAATATAGGCAATGCTAATAATCACTTCCAATGCATTAGCATCATGGATGATTTATTTTAGAGGAAAGAAAGGAGTATAACCTGAGCGAATGTTAATAATATAAACAAAATTTACACTTACAAAGAGGCTGTTCTTATTCCTATATTTTATTTATATTCTATCACTTAAAAAAAAAGATCTGTATACACACACACACACACACAAATATAGAATATTACTCAGCCAAAAAAAGAATGAAATCTTGCCATTTGCAACAACATGGATGGACCTAGAGGCTATTGTGCTAAGTGAATTCAGTCAGAAAAAGACAAATTCTTATATATAGAATCTAAAAAACAAGACAAATGAACAAACAAACTAGAAACAGACCTATAAACACACAGAACTGATAGTCGCCAGAGAGGACAGGGGTAGGGTGTTGGGCAAAATAAGTGAAGGGGATTAAGAGGTACAAACTTCCAGTTATATAATAAATAAGTCACAGGGATGACAAGTACAGCATAGGGAATATAGTCGATAATACTGTAGTAACTTTGTATGGTGACTACACTTATTGAGTTGAGCACTGCATAATGTATAGATTTGTGGTTTTTTTTTTTTAAAGATTTTATTTATTTATTTATCTGACAAAGAGAGACACAGCAAGAGAGGGAACACAAGCAGGGGGAGTGGGAGAGGGAGAAGCAGGCTTCCCGCTGAGCAGGGAGCCCGATGTGGGGCTCGATCCCAGGACCCTGGGATCATGACCTGAGCCGAAGGCAGACGCTTAACAACTGAGCCACCCAGGCGCACCCAGGTAACTAGTACAACACGATATGTCAACTATATTTCAATAAAAATAAAATGAAAATCAAAAAAAGTTTTTGTTTAGCATAAACAATTTGTCATTTGACAGCATTTTTGCTTTGTTTGAAGCAATAAAGCATTCTGCAAAAAAAAAAAAAAAAAAAAGGATCTGTGGAGCTTATCAATATAAACATTACACAGGGGCACCTGGGCGGCTCAGCTGGTTAAGCAATGGACTCTTGATTTGGCTCAGGTCATGATCTCAGGGTCTTGAGATCAAGCTTGAGTTTGGCTCCTTGCTCAGCAGGGAGTCTGCTTGAGATTCTCTATCACTGTCCCTCTTCCCTCCCCCACCAGCTCATGCTCCCTCCCCCCTCCCACTCTCTCAAAAATAAGTAAGTCTTTTTAAAAGAAATAAACATTACAGAGTAGGATCGACAGGGAAAAACTATTAAGTTGGGTAAAAAGGAAAGATGATTTACTAATCAATAAATAGAAACCTCTAAGACTTCCAAAAAGTAGATTTCAAGTCGGGCTGAGTTCCTTAGCAGCCAACACAGACATGACAACTCAGTCATGAGATCTAGTTTCACAAAAGAAAGACAATGCAGGGTGGATTCATGCTAGTTCCATGGAAGAGATCTAGTTTTAATACTTAATCTTAGCCAACAGTATGACTATTAATTTTAGGCTACATCCATTTTCATATTCTTCAGAGCATGGAAATAATAGTCTCTCCATAATGTGCACTGGCTTATTTTTCATTCTTGGGACTACACTCTAAGAGAGACACTGATAAAATAGAACTGTTATCAAAATAGCAAGAGGAACTAGAAAGCACAACATACAAGGAATTTTACAAGAACAGGTTCTGCCTGGAGATGATTTAAGGAGAGACATGAAGGCTGTCATTAAACATTTTTAGGGTTCTTATAAACAAAACAAAGTCCTGTCCTGTGCTACTCCAGGAATCGAACGAGCACAAATAAAATCAAGGTTAAAAAAAAAAGCACAGTTTTAGTTAAATTTATGAAAGAACCTACCAAAAGTTTATTTACTAAACGTATAAATGGATTGTTTTGGGAATTACTGTGCTCTATGGTTGACAGCTGATCAGGAATGCAGAATGTGGGAACTGCATACATTCTGGGAACTTTAAATTGTACATACTTCTGACACTTGAGTATTTAGTATTTAATGTAATACAGATCAAGTATTTCAGCATTTCAGTATACCGAGAGGTCACTATGGGCTTAAACAGTTAGGAAAAGTACAAAGGAACTTGAACTTTAAGAATAGAAAGAATTCAAACAGGCATTCTAGGAGGGCAAGAGCATAAAAAAAAGACACAAGAGAAGAAGGCCCGAGGCACTTCTGGGACATGAATAACTGACCTGGCTGGAGTAGTATATCCATGCAGGGGATTAGTGTGAGATAATTTAGGGGAAGTATGTTCAGTCAAAATGTGAAAAGCCCTGAACAGTAGGCAGGAAGTCTGAACTTGAGTGAAGGGAATTCAATGAAGGTTTCTGAGAGGCATAGCATAATGGTTCTCCTATTTCAGGAATACTAATTGGATGGTGGTGTGCAGAATGGACTGAGGGTAAAGGAGACAGATTAGAATGAAAAAAGCTAATCAGGAGACAGTAGAATAATGGTCTAGGCAAGAGTGGGAAAGGCAAAGGGTAGGAAAGATGATGAAGAAAGAATAATAGTAACTGAACAAATATTTAGAACAAAGAGGCAAGAACCCAAGATGGCTCTGTGAGTTAACACAGAAATAACAGGCAAAAGAATACTCCAGTACAAACAAAGATCATATAAGTACAACACAGGCGTTTAAGGCCTCAAGGCAAATCAATACATAACAAACAGTAAAATTAAGTTTTCCAGAAAAGCTGATAAGAAAGTTTAAATACTGGGCGCCTGGGTGGCTCAGTTGGTTAAGCGACGGCCTTCGGCTCAGGTCATGATCCTGGAGTCCCGGGATCGAGTCCCGCATCGGGCTCCCTGCTCAGCGGGGAGTCTGCTTCTCCCTCTGACCCTCCCCCCTCTCATGTGCTCTCTCTCTCCTCTCATCCTCTCTCTCAAATGAATAAATAAAATCTTTAAAAAAAAAAAAAGAAAGTTTAAATACTGTCATTTTTAAAACAGTGTGCCTCTGGGGTGCCTGGCGGGCTCAGTCAGTAGAGCATGCAGCTCTTGATCTCAAGATCATGAGTTCGAGCCCATGCTGGATGCAGACTGCTTAAATAAACTTTTAAAAATAAAAAAATAAAACATAATAAACTGTGTCTCAATACTCCACCAGGAACTCTAAGTGATGTAGACAATATAATAGTATGAGAGCTATGTAAACAATTCCTTTTATTTTAGAAATTAGGGCTGGGCTCAGTGTGATATAAGATGGTATGTGCAATGCTTAAAATAAGATAAAAGGAAAGCAAACTATTTTAGACCTTCCTCTAATTAAGTGGGACCACATCCTGCCCCTCTGAACAAAGTGGCTACATATTCTTTATTTTATTTTTTTGAAGATTTTATTTATTTATTTGAGAGAGAACGAGAGTGAGAGAGAGAGAGCCCAAAAGGGGGTAGGGTCAGAGGGAGAAGCAAACTCCCTGCCGAGCAGGGAGCCCGATGCGGGACTCGATCCCGGGACTCCAGGATCATGATCTGAGCCGAAGGCAGTCGCTTAACCAACTGAGCCACCCAGGCGCCCATGCATATTCTTTATTTTGTTCCAGTTCTTTTCTGAGGTCAGAAAGCAATCTAGTTTTAGAGTAATCTCTAAAAAAATAACTGCAACATGAAGTTAAGCAGTGCTATCACCAATGGAGGGCAAATTTCAGCCTTAAGATTGAAAAGGTTGTATTGGTAGAACAAAAGGAACAAAACAGGAATTCTGCAAATGTACTGATATTCATTGAGTTCAATTTTGTGAGCCATTAATGGGAACAATGTGGTAAACCACAAAGTAAGAGTGTTTTGGGGTAAGTTTAATATTAGAAATTTATCTTATGTAGAGAAAATCTACATGAGACTATATAGAGTGAGGAACTAGGAAAACATTTTAAAAATGGCCTTTCAATTATAAAAGTTAACCATGTTTATTATATAAAATTAGAAGAAAAAAAAAAAAACAGATAATAAGGGCAGGAGAAATTGCCCACAATGTCATTACTTCAATTACTCCGAAATTTTGGTATATTTCTTTTGTTTTTTCCACCTATTTAAAATCACAATTGACTTCATACTATAACAAACAGTTTTGTACTCTGTGCTTTTCACTTACTATAATTGGTAGTTTTTCCCCATGTATAGAAACACTTCATAAAATATAATGGCTACATAATAAACGTGTGGATATATCAATGAAGAATTTCTTCAAATACAAATCAAAAGAATTACAACTTTGTACAGTACTTTCAATTTCCTAAAACATGTTCATTTCTGTCTTTATCCTTACAAGATAAACATATCTGTATCCTTATGAGATAAACAGACGAGGCTTATTATTTGCCTCATTTTACAGAACAGTAAATAGATTTTGTTTTTAAGAGCTCAGTCACTTAGTCCCAGGTAACACAGTAACAGTGAGCTTTGATCAGAGATTCAAGTCTTCTGATAATCTGACCAGTTCATCTTTTTAAAGAATATACATTCTGCTATAATGCAACCCTTCCCCAGCCTTCAGAGAACAAAGGAGTGTCATAGCCATCTGCGTAACACAATCAAAAAGATTAGTCCTGCTTCCACTGTCCTTGGCCACTTCCCTCAGAAGGCCTAACCAACGGCTTTAAGTAACCAGGTAAAAAGAGGTCCATCATTTCGGGGGAGCAACGTGTTGTTACAATACCTTCAGATTATGTATGATATCTATCCGCTTGTTCTGGCTGTCCTTAAAATGAACTTGAACTCTGACAGGAAACTCACCCCAGCCTCTTCTGGTTAGATGAAAAGGAGGCTCTCTAGGGAAAAGCAAATATTAACACATTAAGCCAGAGTCACATTCTCATTCTAGAGAGGAAATATTTTCTCCTACTGGGTAAGTCAGAAATTCACAGCCTCTGACAATAATTTACATTTTTCTCATCTGAAGCTCAATTGATACACTGAATTTTTGCTGAAATGCTAAAAGAAAAATTCAACTCAAATCTACATTAAACTTTCAATCACTGAATACTTAGAGCTAAGAGACTTATAATATATAATCCAACATCATCATTTCCACAGGCAGGGAAGGTGATTTGATGGATGTTACATATTAGAAGCCAGAATCCTTGACTGCTACTTGACAGACACAGGCTGTGAGGTATATGTTTCCTACCCCAGACACTCATATTTATTCCTCCACTCTGGCAAAAACAGAATAAATCATAAATGCTCAATCTGAAAGTGACAAGTTATTTGAAACTATCCGCTAACAGGACTTAAAAGAACATATGTTTACCATATGATTTTCACCAAACAGTGACTATGATTTTAGTGGATAGAGGAGGAATGTATGTGAATGCTAATTGGACTAGAGAATTTTCAGTCAAAACATAATTTGTGAAGGGAAGAAAAAGGAAAGTTGATGAAAAAGAGATTAGCAAATTGTTAACGATGTTCGGTATAGGAGGGTTCAAGATACTCTACTTCTGAGTATGTTTGGAATTTTCCATAATAAAAACATCTTAAATTTAACTGAGAGAACGTCATGTACTCAAAAATAATACGGTTTAAGTTAATGGGGGAGAGAGAATGCATTAAAATGAAAATGTTCATTATGAATCAGTGGCTTGGAATTACTGAAATGAGAGAAGATGCCAAGATGGCAAGGAGGAAGACGCACTCAGCGGGATGTGTTTTTGCAAAACTAAGAGGAGACATGAATTCAGTAAAGACAAACTCCAAGAACACAACCTGAGAAGAATCTAACAACAGATCCGAATTATCAAGAACAGAGCCAGAGGCTACCAGGAGGGCTCAAGACAGGAAAAATCCCTGAGTACGAGAGTAGCCTGGAAAGGTGAAAAAGCAATAGCTATGTTATACACCAGAGAGAGGGGAAAGCGAAGAAAACTAGAGTGCCCTGGATGGGAGAAACCAGTTGAACACTGACTGAGTTAGTAAAAGAAGTAGCCTTGATGCTGGAATAGGTTCAGACAGAAATTAAAAGACAGGCTTGGGGTCAAAGGAGAAGGTCGAACTGAGACAGCAGTTTGAAAAGGGATGTAGTGGGGCCTAGAGGCATGGTGAACTTTAGAAGAATAATTAAAGTTCTATTGATGACATGTTTGGTCATTTAAATTCCAGTAAAGTAGATAGCCTAAATTCATTTTGCAGTATGCGTCAATTATACTATTTTTATGTTGGATTTCTCTTAAAATGGATATAGCAAATCAGCTGTGCTCCTCAATTTATGTACATTGGCTAAACTCTAGTGGATGAACAGGAAGGACGGCTGCCAGAGAAGACAAATAGCATAAAGGCCAGGAAAAAGGAACAATGCTTTTAACAGGAAATATCTCCCTAACCATATTTTTGGAAGCAAAAAAGTAACCTAAGGCTTACCAACAGACATCACCTATGGAAATGTTAAACTTCAAAAAGATACATGTATTTCACACAAAAAAAGGACTGCCTCCCCCAAACAGACTTTTTTATTTCTGGATTCCTCACAGAAGGTGAAATGTATCAATGACCAAGAAGGAAAAACCACAGAATACTGGGAGGATCATACAATGCCCCAAAAGAGCTGAGGGTTTTTAGGCAGAAAAAGGGAAAAGATGGTCTAGAAGCCACAAATATGTGCAAGGAAGACACACCCACCCCCAGGCCCACTGGCACATGGTGTGAGAGAAAAATCAGCTGCCACCTGAAAGCTGTTCTCAAAAGCAGTGTTCTCAGAAGATAGCCATGTTTTATTTAGGAGTCAGCAGTGGAGGGAACGGTCTAAAGAGAGCTGAGGATATAGGAAATTTCACTGATAATAAACCAAAACCACTTCTACAATACATTCACACAATGAATGTATATGTAATATGTAATATCATATAAAGATATAAAGAATACACTTAAAGGGGAGCCTGGGTGGCACAGGTCATGATCTCATCAGTTGTGAGATCGAGCCCTGTATTGAGATCCATGCTCAGTGTGGAGTCTGCTTGAGATTCTCTCCCTCTGCCCCTCCCCCCACTCTCAGGCACACGCAATCCCTCTCTCTCTCAAATAAATAAATAAAATAGGGGTGCCTGGGTGGCTCAGTTGGTTAAGCATCTGACTCTTGATTTTGGCTCAGATTATAGTCTCAGGGTCTTGGGGTCAAGCTCCACATTGGGCTCCATGCTCAGTTGGGAATGTGCTTAGGGATTCTCTCTCTCCCTCTGCCCCTCCCCCCCTGCTCACACATGCTCTCGCTCTCTCTCTAAAGTAAAAATAAAGAAATCTTTAAAATAAATAAATTTTTTAACAGTAAAGAATTTTTAACAAGAAATGTTTTTTAATGATATTAACACTCATGGTACAAAGGCCAAATTTGACCCTTCCCTATTTAAAGATGGCACAGATTACAGATAGTACTAAACCCAAGCCATTCAACATTCAAGAAACAAATGGTCTGTATATGAACTGTCAGGCATGTTGGCAGCCCATGTGCATGATTTGAACAAATCAGACACGGTCCTTTACCTTTATCGAGCTTACAGTCTCATAAGGGAGACAGATACTAAATGTGTAAACACACAAATAAATACATAATTACAGGGGTGCCTGGGTGGCTCAGTCGTTAAGCGTCTCCCTTCGGCTCAGGTCATGATCCCATGGTCCTGGGATCGAGCCCCACAGGAAGCCTGCTTCTCCCTCTCCCACTCCCCCTGCTTGTGTTCCCTCTCTCACTGTGTCTCTCTCTGCCAAATAAATAAATAAAATCTTAAAAAAAAAATAATTACAGACTGTGATCAGTATTTTAAGACGATAATTGGCTGCTATGAACCAGAATGAAAAGAATAGAATGAATCTATTTTAGATTGGAATCTAAGGTGAGCTGTGAATACTAATACAGCAATGTGTGTATACAATAGGCCTAGATATAAGGTTTGTATTTGTGCTGAGCCTTTTAGAAAATAGAGCATTTACTGTCTTTTGTGGTATGTTCTCTGATTTTTAGGTTTTTATTACTTGGTTTGGAAACCATGCTTTGCTTCTAACATTAGCAGGACATGAAAGTGCTTGAGCTATAATTCTCATTTTGTATTTCATTAATATTCAGTAAAACATATGTAACATTTAACAACTCAGTATCTCTTTCTGTGATCTCTTCAGGCTCTGACCTTTGTTTTCTCTGGAGGAAAAATACATCATGCGGACTCTGCTTCAGAGCAGTGCAGGTTCATTCCGCAAATGTTCCCGTGCCATAACCTATGATCACCTAGAGCTTGCGTGGTAAGCTAATGGTAAAGAATTACTGTAAGTCCATTTAAATCCTGCACGCTATATTCATCTTAATCAGTAGGTGAAAAAGAGATATAACTCAACAACACCAAATTTAAAAGTGAAAGTCAAAAGTGCCATGAAGGAAAAGGAGGGGGTGTTGTGAGAGTACAACACAAGGGGCCCTGACTCAATCTGAGGGATTGGAACAAAGGATGCTTACTCTAAAATCTGAAAAACAAGAGTCATATTTTCCTGATATCCCAATGCTAAATTTATTATATGTTGTTATGAATTACCTTACAGACACTCATCTAAAGATGGAAAAATAATCCTTTTTTTCTAACTAGGACCTATTAATTCTATATTATGTTTTTTTGTTTTTTTTGAGAGAGAGAGA